GATCATAGTATGTGAAAGAGATGTTCTCTAATCCATATAGTTTTTGTGCCCCCTTTATGGATTAAACATAAGAAACAGAAACATATAAGCACCAATATAATCCCGCCAGTGAACGTAAACACAGCAAGAAAACAATTTTGCCCTGGCGTTGACGGCTGCGGTAGCATGCCAGTCAAAGTTCAGAGACATGTTTGTCGATCTATTTATGTACAAGAATTCTTCAAAAAGTTTCCATACTTTTTAAAACTCTATTTATTAAGAATCTGAACAGCAAATTACATCACTTTTCTACACGGTCACCCTTTGCAATGCATTTTTCCCAGTGTCGTACCAACTTTTTAATGCCATCCGCAAAAATATCTATAAAACATATTTATAAAATATGAAAGTGTGGAAACTTTTTGAAGAAGCCTCATACATATATACTGCGTTTTTCTCCTGCTTTTCAGGCAGTTATTGTCTCCGAGAGTGGCTCATATCAAGAGGGAGGGAAAGGAAGAGAGAAGCAGGCGCTGTTCTCAGGCTTGCGACATAGAAGGACAAGGTACGCAAGGGAAAGATCAGGGTCAGAGAAAGGGGAGACCAACCTGGCCCATCAGTTGGCCCAAGAAGGAGCAGTTGCAAGGAGCTGGGCTTGCCCTTCCTTTCACAAAGCACGCCCTGATCCAACCACATGTAGCCCGCGGCCTGGAGAAGAGGAGGAGGATGGAGCCTTCATCAGTCATGAAGCAAGAGGCACCAATGGCCATTTCAAGCAAGAACGTCCACGAAGGAAGAGCAGTCAGCCCTGAAATGCGTCTCTCTCGCAGTATCCTGGCACCTTCCTATTGTGGCAGTGTCTCGTGAGAAAGTGGTGTGATGGGCACACACGTGTGTTAATGGGCAAAGTACCTCTGGGGACTCTGTGTGCCAAATTTCCTCCATAGTGTTCCTGTGGTCGAGGGTCGAGGATCCTCCATCAACAGTGTTGGACAATCCCTTTCACCTATTGCATTGCACAAACCATAGGAATGAATGGGCGCCATTTACTGATGTGGGAGAAAGGAAAGTGATGCACTCATTGGGGAGGGTCTAATGCTGCCTCGGGACTGCAGGTGGCGCAGTGGTTTAAACCGTTTTGCTGCTGGGCTGGTTGATCGGAAGGTCGCCGGTTTGAATCTGCACAACAGGGTGAGTTCCCATTGCTCCGTCCCAGCTCCTGCCAACCCTGCAGTTCGAAAGCATGCAAATGCAGGTAGATGAAAAGGTACCACTCCGGTGGGCAGGGAACAGCGTTCCATGCACTTTGGTGTCTAGTCATGCTGGCCACATGACCACGGAGACTGTCTGAAGACAAACGCTGGCTCCCTCGGCTAGGAAACGGAGATGAGCACCGCCCCCTAGAGTCAGGCATGACTGGACGTAACGTCAAGGGGAAACCTTTACCTTTACCTTTACCTTTACCTTTACCTTTTTAATGCAGCCTCTGGTGAATGTAGTGCATGGTATAAGGGTCAGTGCCCACATGAGGAATCCTGGCTATGGCTTCATGGGTGTTCTTTGCATTACCCTTAGAAGGTGGAGCAGGTGTGCTACACTGGAGAGGTCTACAGTTCAACTCTGACGTCTTCATGTATATTTTAGCCTGGGAAGCTGCTTCCCGTCAGTGCTGCACAAAGAGGCCTGAGCTAGATAGACCAGCGCCCAATTGATACAAAGAAAAATTTTGTGTTCTTTGTGTTAAAGGCATAGAACTTCTATTGAATGTCCGTTTAAGACCAAGCAAACCTTATTATTAATGTAGACAAAGTGAATTGCTAGCCATGTGTTCGTGATTATTTTCTATTGGCCATCAGTACTTGTTATATAACGGTGATTTAAAGAGCAATTCAAAATTCAAATTTGTCAGATGGTTGAAGTTCTAGTCCCAACAGGAGTCAAAATACTGGCATGTTTTGTTCGCAGATCAGGTTGTCCCTTTGACAGATAATAGCAACGATTTGTGTTCAGCTCCCACTCTCAGGGTGGAGAGACGTGGCCCATTGAGGCAGGGCTGGGAAACAAGAAATTGTAATGGTGGAAAGATGTAGCACAGGCAATTAAGCAAAAAAAAAAAACCCAATCAGGGTTATAATTTATGCATTTGCAGCTGTTTCTAGGCCACCTTAAGGACGGAACTCTCTCAGGCCAGTCTACAAAATGTTCAAAGAACTTGCAAAGTGATTACAATAAAGGCCCATACGAGCAGAGTTGATAACTAAAAGCAGAAATTACCAGTGAAATCAACAGCTCAAGATAGTACAGAGACGAGCAGAAGCAGGTGGGTGCTAAAGCCATGTAAGAAGGGCCAAAGGAGGCTGCTTCCAGGGGACCAGGGCAACCGCTGAGTGGGGGGTGCTCTCTCCTTGCACTCACCAGGCTAATTGCTCTTGGAGGCATGCGGTTGAGTAGCACCTCCACCAAGGATCTCGGAGTGCAGGCAGCTGGTTTGGAGGTAGCCGGCCCTCCAGATACTTGGTCCCGAATCAATGTACAGCTTTAACGGATAGAACCAACACTTCCAGAAGTGCACTAGCCACCAGTGCAGCTCATAAAGTATCGCATGAACTGACCAGCTGGCCCCCACCAAGATCTGTGCATTGCGTTCTGCATCAGTGGGTCTTTCCAAACCATTCTCAAAGGCTTCGCATCACTGTCCAGTTTCAGTGACACAGCAGCAGGAATTACTGAAGCAGGATCTTTCTCCTTCAACGGGCACACCAACCTAAACTGGCCACAATGGCAACCTTATTGTTAGCTTCCCCAGTTAGTGCCAAGTCCACGAGCACACCCAAACGATGCACCTGATCCTTCAACAGAAGTGAAACCCCATCTCGCATCCAATATCATCTATCCAGATTAGTTGGCGTCCCTGTGCCTTGTGTGGTTAAGCCTCACTCGGTTTCCCCATTCACCACCAAGCCTGGTTGTGAAGCCCAACAGCCTGGAAAGGAGGTAGAGCCAGGCCACTAGCATCATGATGGCACTTCAGCCAAAACCTCTGAATGACTTTCTCCAGCAGCTCAAGGTAGACTTCGAAAAAACCAGAGGGCTTACATCCCTCTGCAGGCCATTGGCCATGGGATAGAGAAGACTTCCCCAAGGGGAACCTTCTGAAACTGTTCGTCCTGAAAGGGTTGAATCCACTTTATCCCCATTCCTCCTACGCCCAACTTAGATAAATGATCCAGAAGGAGACTATCCAACATGGCATCAAGCACCACTGAGTGGTTCAAGAGAACCAGCAGGATCGTATCTTCTCCCATCCCTTCCCCATTACGAGGGGGCCAGCACTGTTTCTGTCCCAAGATAGGCTTGACCCCTGAGGCTGTACAAGCTGGAAGATATTCATGATAATATAACTAGATGCTATTCTGGTTACATCCTAGTTTATTGTACACAATATAATTGCCTGAGCAATATATGGTTATGAATTTCTCAAAACATGGATGCAGGAGCAGTGATCTTAACATAGTAATCTTCCAGAGTTAAGCTGAGATGTACCCTTTTAAAGAGAACTAGTGTTGTTATTTAAAATCTGGAATCCTGTTTCCGGCCGTATGCTTGATTCTCCCTCTGCTAGAACTGTATGGAAATTATTCTTTGGGAAAGGGTGAATTCCATCATTTCTGTGAGGAGGCACCATTTAACTCACAGAAAAGATATTTGGAGTTGGCTTTGCAGACTTTTTATACTAGTCCCCTAGCCCCCTCAGCCTCTAAATTAAATCCAGCTGATACTACTTCACCTTTTAAGAAATCCATTTTACAGTCTTTCCTGATTCTTCATGTCTATATTCTTTAGGTATGTTGTGTGGTTTTATTTTGTTACTGTTTTCCTGATTTTCACACAATGATGTCATTATCACGGATGGTATGGTCCAAAGCTTCCAGGTATATCCATTTGGTATGAAGCTACATAACAATACATTTTGTTTTATTTTTATTGTACAAAAAGCCCCAAAGTGGGGAGTGGGAACTGCAAACCTACGGTAAATCATGTCTCTAGGACTGGACTGAATAGGAGAGTTTTGGTAGTATCCTTAGCAAAGTTTGCCCCTGCAAAAATATCTTCATCAGCTTACAGTCATGAAGAACCAGAAGGTCTGTGGAAGGGCCTGGTTCACATATAATTGCTTGGTTCATAGATTATTGGATTGCACATGGTAGGCATGTCATGAGCAGAGCTGGCTAGAGCCGGGGGTCAGACTAGATGGCCCAGGAGACCCTTTCTGACTCGCTCAGTTTCTATGTTTCTATGGATTGCATGGAAAGTGGGCATGTGCATCTTCTCTTGTTCCGGTTGTCTCATATGCATACGTAGATGTAATTGCGTATCAAAGACATGGTGGATGTTTGTTCTTTTCAAACAGCTGTGCCAGGTGCATGGGGAAGATTAGCTATTGGGCAGATTCATGAATAAATGAATGAATGAATGTAAAAGCCTATGAAAGTATAGTCCCAAAAACACTTTTTTCTGCCTAAATTTGCGTAGATTTGCACTCTAAATGAAGCAGCAGTCCCACAGAATGGTCTTGAAAGGCTGTACAATCATGCAATCCATCTGACACTAAGCAAGACTCATTAAGCTCAGTGCCTAGATGGGCAACCATCTGTTTGGTTCCAGCCCTACCCTCTTCGGTTCTAGCATGTATAAAACATGAGTTATAAATACATTACTGGTGCTACCCTATGCATGTTTAGAAATAAGTCCTCTAGCATTCCTCAGCCCACCATGTTGGCTGGGGAATGTTGAGCATTACAGGACTTTTTCCTGTCTAAACATTCACAAGATTGCACCTTAAATAATTTCTGGTGCGATTTTTCAGCCATTCCTGCAAGCCTTTGAACACCAGCAGAAAGGAGAGTCTCCCCTCTAGACGGGGTGGCCTTTTATGGTGCTTCCATTGTTGTCCTTGTGCAGTAACATCCCTTTCTGTCTCTGTAAGTCATTACAACAGTTCTGTGTTCTCTTTCTTCTAGGTGTTCTCTGGAACCTGTCCTCTTGTGATGCACTAAAAATGCCAATTATCCAGGATGCCCTTGCAGTATTGACCAATGCAGTCATCATTCCTCATTCGGGATGGGAAAACTCCCCACTCCAGGATGACCACAAAATTCAGCTTCATTCATCGCAGGTGCTGCGCAATGCCACTGGGTGCCTAAGGTGAGTTTTGATGACCAAAGCGGGGGTTTAATTTATTTTAAGTGTTAATTTATTCTGTAGGATTTTTAAAAAATTTTAAGCCGAGATGCACCGGGTTTTAATATTTTTAGTGTATAATTTTTTTGTATGATTTTGTTTGTTTTGTTTTTGTTGTGAGCCGCCCCGACGCTTTGTTGCGATGGGGGCGGCATAGAAATGTTTTAAATAAATAACTATGTTCTGCAGGTCCCTCGTTTCCATCCCTACCTTCAGGAGAGTTATTTGTCAGGCCCTGTTGGTGCCGCCAAAGCCTGTTGCAAAGTGTCCACACGAAACATTTAGAGGGATTCTTGACCGTGTGTTACCCATGTTCTTCTACACTTGATTTGCAAAAGCTGGCCTGCCTGGCATGTATAGTAGCCCATCAGCAATTTAGAAAGCCTCTTTTTGGTGACTGCCAAGGAGCACAAACACCAGGCATACCTGATGGACCACAACGCGTGGCTGATGGATACTGCTGTGTTTTGGCTTGGTGGATTGTACGTTGTACAGGCCTGTTTGACACCTTGTTGGGTGAACTTTTTTTCATATGGTGGAAATGCCTGGTGTTGCACCAAAGTTTGATTTAAAGGAAGTATAGGTATTTTATGACAAAAGCTAGTGGTATATGAGGTCCAGAAACCCCCATGAATAAGCTGTAAAAATCAGGAACACATGTCTTTTCAAACACAAACTCAGGTTTCCAATCTTGCACTCAGGGACTGGTTGGATGAGACATTTCCATTGGCATTTACCCATGATTTCAGCTGAATAATCTGTGTAACATTAGTCAATGGAGAGGTGATTTGGAGTGAGGGACAGCGGAGCAGTGGATATTGTAAAAACTTCACTGCAGCATGTGTGCCCTGTGCTAATTTTTGCGGTTGGAGGTTGACGGATAAAGACATTTATATGCCAAAGCACTCAGTAAGGAGAAGGAGCCATGGTAGACAATCAGTCAATTCTTTATTCAGTCATTGACCAGCCAATAAATAAAACAAAATTACTATTAGTTAAAAATAAGAAAAATACAGTACTAATAAAATTAATTAAAACAAGAAGTAAAAACATTCTGGTAGACCCTAACAACATTTAGGGTTAATTCTACCATATGCTGTACAAACTACTGAACAGTATTTGGCTGTAGCCAAGGAGATAAAATCGGATTGATCAGATAAAAGTAACTTAAGATAAAAAGAATCGGAGTAATCGGTATTTTTTGATATCCCCCTTCAGTAATGGCTGTTGGGAGGGCATTGAATCTAGCTAGAGATGAAGCCCTTCTAAATTTGGGGATCGTTATGCTACTGAGATATCAAGCTGGTTGCAAGAGATGTGCAGAATGGTTCAGGAACGTATTTCTGGGTAGAACTGGATGATCTGTTTGTTGCTCTGAATCAGTGCCCCGCTGTTTAAGTCCTGCTAATGCCCATTCATAGCCCATTGAGGAGATAGCTGGCCATGAATAACCCTATAATTGCAATCTGGCCCATGTTGCCTGGCTCCAAGAGTTCTGAAAGCTGTCAGTCATTATTAAAGGGACCAAGCCAGCTGGAAAGAATAGGAGCTTGAGCCAGTAAGAAAAGATGTAAATCCAAGCCAAAGTTTCAATTTTAAGAAGGCCAGCTTCTTAAAATTGGACCATGTTTGAAGCGCAGTGGGGTGCTTGGAAGATGGTCCTCAGGAAATTAGACTGAACTCTTTTCAAGGGAAGAAAAGACCTCTAGACAATGGCTTCCAACCCATGGTGTTGGTGCTCTGCTCAGAAGTCCAATCGCATCTTGTGTTTAATATGCCACTGTTGGGGAAAAGGTGATTATGCAGATTTCAGCTTCTCTGGATATTGCTGGCTTTTCCTGGAAGGATAACTGGGGAAACATCTACTCCCTTTCTTTGTCAACCAGGAGCTGACTGTTTGATACTTTTTTTGTTTCATACGTCCCATCAATCTGGCAAGAATGCTGGCATTGGATTGATGTAGAGAAGACATTGCTTATAAATAACTGTGCTGTGTTACGAATTTCAGAGTCTGGGTGTGCTTTCATAAAGGCATAACCTGCCCTTGCGAGGGGCATAACACACCTTATATCACAAATCTAACATTATGGGATCCAAAATAATGCTTGACATTTACTAGTCTTTATGACTGTATGTGTGGGTCGTGAGTTTATTTTCTTAGTAATATGGAAACAGCGGATAATACCAGAGAGCGTAAAAGGTGCCTGTGTGCATCCAAAACAGTCGGCAGCTGCAGTGCTAGCGGCACGTGTCAGAAGGCCCTGGGGGAAGGCAGCGCAGTGGGCACCTTCCCTTCCACGCATCTGCCTCCTCACCACCACCACCAGCAGCTGCTTTCGTGCCAGCACCTCTTTCTCGGCGCCGCTACATCTTGCTTGCTTGCTTGGCAGTCCAAGAGCCAGTGAAAGGAGCAGGCGATGGCCACTGGCTGGCACCCAGCCCTGCTCACCCTTGGCGCTATCCCTGAGTTTGGAGTCTTTGCAGCAAAATGTCTGCAGGATTTGGTTATTGTTTTAAAAATGTGAATACTGGAGGCATGCTGCACACATTTAAATTTCCAGCACCTTCCGAACAGAACACTTTAAAGACTTCTTCCCCAGCGGGTTGTTCTGCCCGTTCATTTCAAACGCATTTCAGGACTGAAGCCACAATTCAGAAAACCATGGGAATAACAACACACAACGAGGTTTTTCATTTTAAAATCTTTTTGTTTTGTTTAAAGAACAGCAGCCCCCCACTCTGCATGGCAAATACCTTCTGAAATGCCAAAATATTTGCATAATGTCTGGAAAGGATTCAATAGCAGTTTGTGAGACATGGGAATGCTTCTGTTCAGAAATACACAATGGTGCAAGCCCTGCTGAGCACGCTCAGGCCCTTCAATTCCTAATGAAGTTCTCTAGGTTTTGACTTTAGGCTACCATCTTCCAATGGCTGCATGATATTATCTTCCACGCACCACAGAAATTGCCCAGTAGGACTAGATAAACAGAGGTTTCCACTCATCGGTGTTGGAAAATCTTGTATAGTTTATCTAAAATTGAGCTGTAGTTAAACTGACTAACAACGGCTACGGGCAGACAATCGTTTTGCTGCATTCCCATTTGTGATTAGCAGGCTTTCAAGTCACCTTTGTTTATTTTAATTTTATTTTTGGGCTTCCAAGCTCATTTAAGAGCCATTTTATACATTTTATGAGCAGGTCTGCATCTCCTGAGCCTGCAGCGATGAACAGAAGGTGCAACCATGATGAAATGCTTCCCTGTGCAAGGAACTCCAGTAGTATATCAGACTTCTGCATAACTCGCCTCCTCAAAAGCTATTTTTTTGCATCCTGGAATCATTTCATGGGGAATCAAAGATCCTTTGCCCCTGTACCTGCACACCGACACGCATAATCGCAACCTGTAGGGGGAAAGCGGTGCTGCCAGATTCTGCTGGTAGCATAAACTGCCCCTTAATGCTGCCTCTCTCTCATAAGCACTAGCAATTATTGCTGTTTGACTTGGATCCAGAAGACTCATCTGCTACCCACTGTCACAGAGAGGGGTAGATGCTGATTTCTTCCGATTTGTTCCTGGTTGGAACCCCCATAACATTGAAGCGGGGGATGCATGAGGCATTGTTGCAAGACAGGAACGAAAAATCTCTGTTGCGTGCGTAGAATTACAAACAGTTCTCGAGATACAAACCAGTGTATTTTCATTGCTGCATGTTATGAATTCCTATACAAGTCTTAACTAAACCTCAAACCATTCAGTCAGCCTTCTTCTTTTATCAAGATAATTGAAGCTTCACTGATACCTTCCTTGATCCCTCCTGTTATACCTTTCTGCTTTCTTTAAAAGGTGCTGTTTGCTTCCTCTCCAAATCCATTACCGTATTTTTCACTCTATAAGACGCACCTGACCATAACATGCACCTAGTTTTTAGAGGAGGGATCCATGGAAAGCTTCCTGATAATCCCAGGCACATTCCCCATCACTTCCCCATGGGCTTTATTAAAAGACGGGTTGCCATTTGAAAACACACACCGACCTGTGATTAACAGCTCTCACCTGCGCCGGAGGAGGGGGGTGGAGCAGGGCACGCCGAGCGTGTGCCGGCCAGGTGTGGTGTAGCCAGGCGGGTAGCGTGCTGGCGGTGGTCTTCCGGGCAGCGCGGCGGCAGGTCTTCCCAGGCGGTGGGGGTGAGCAGTCCATGCGGCCGGCGGGTTCAAGCCCGTGGTTCCTCCTCCTCTGCACCGCTCCCCCTGAGCGACACAGCTCTCACCTGTGCCGGAGGGAGGCGTGGAGCAGCGCGTGCCGAGCGCGTGCCGGCCAGGTGGTGCCACGTGGTACAAGCGGCCGGCAGCATCTCGGGCATCGGGCACACACACATTCGCTCTGTAAGACGCACAGACATTTCCCCTTCCTTTTGAGGGGGGGAAAGTGCGTCTTATAGAGCGAAAAATACGGTATTTCCTTTCTGGGCTTAAAAAGAGTTAGATGACTGATTTGCTGCTTAATTTCCATTGTGTCACATTTATCACTTACTGCTGAATTTAAATACGTTAATGCATTGCATTTAGCAATCTTGGTTTTGGTGTAAAAAGCTTTCTCTGTATGTGTAATGTGTCACTTCTGTGGAAGTAGGACTGACTTTTCGGCATCCCATGGTTGAAAGAAAAAGAGGTCCCAATTCATAACTTCATGCAGATTACACTGTGCATGGTGTTTATGTATGCTCTGAGATTATTATTATATTACCTTTCTGTACCTCCCATAGCCAAAGTGCGCAATATTTTTACCCATCCAAATTTCAGCCATGCCCAACCCTGCTTCAGTGCCAGATTTAGGCAGGAACAGCCACTTCAGGCTATATGAAAGCTACAGGATGGCCATGTCTTTTGTGAACATCAAGAGTTATCAAGGTGACCAGTGCATAAAAGGCCTCAGACACTACTAAACAGTAAGGCAGTGCTA